AAACACGCAGTCACTTTTGATCTTCAAAATATAAAAATTGATATTATTGAAATAATTTATCAATATAAAATGGCGGCTTACATACCTTGCTCAGAGCGAAACACCAATTCAAATGGAAAACGATAAATATTAATACAATAGAACGAAACATCAGTGGAATACCGAGATTCTACGAAAGTAAAACGAATTAAGTACAGTTCTGCCTTTTCACTCGAGCTCTTACCACTCCGGGAAATTATGTGGTTTATAACGGTTCCAGCATAGAGATTATAAGGGTTCCGGGGGGGAGGCTATGCCTAGTTCAATGGTGTCAATAGGCATTTTTAAGATTGTGCTTCCACGTGCTGCAAATTTACTTCCCGTTGGCGTTTTCTTTTAAATTTAAATATTTTACAGAAATTCATGTAAACTATTAAACTACAAACGGTCAGCAGACTCAGCACAAACCTGTGTGCGTATATTAAACTCGTTTCGAAGCATTGAAAAGCACTTTGCTTATTTTTTGAGATAGGGATTTTTATCAAGGTTCAAGTTTTTAATTGCCCTTGGAAATGCTTACTTATAATATGGTCTAATATGTATTTAGCCTGGACTCGGTCTTAATTTACAACAAATTGTGATATTAATATATTACTTTCCTGACTTTGTTTATCGTAAGATCGTAACCCACCCTTCCCTGCCTGGGGAGGAAACCCGAACGCATTTTTATTTTGGTATTGCGCTATCAGAGAAACTAACATTTTAACTATCTATTAGACAATTTTTGAACTAACGGTGAGAACTTTGTTCTAGCTTTGTTCATATGTTTCACTTCTAGTCAAATTCAATTAGCCTAAGGGCTTTTTCCAAAAGAGATCACAGTGCATTCTAGGATCGTTTGGAGGGACAAAATATATTGTGACAGGCGTCAAAACATGTGAAAGAGTAGAAGTATCTACTATCAAAAATCACTTTCTTTAGACGACCAAGAATGAAATATCTCCCTTTTACATTAATTGATCATTTAATTTAAATGTGTGCTGCCATATTTCTTGTCCCTCCAACCTGGCATTCGCGCGACTAGACCCTCGACTTTGGGGAATGGCTAATATGGTGGATTTTAAGGGTAGGAATAAGAAAAGTAGAGACATGAATCGTGATCGGGTGTACATTCCATCTATGGATTTTATTGCCATTTGGCCTACAAGTATATATAAATTGCGGTTTATGAGATACTGTGATACGTGCAATTAGGCTTCCTAAAATACTACAAATTGCTTTTGACGTTCGGAACAAATTTTATGCCTGCATGCAATATTTAGCTACATAAAGTATTCCTTAAGGTCAGATCGTTCTTTCCAGTTACATGATCTGACAATTCTATGAACCTCAGCAGAAAGATAGGGAAAGACAGTAATGAAATATTTTTGGGGATTGCCCACTAATGATTCTTCAATGGGTCCCCGCGTTGAACACGGTCGGTTATGCCAGTGTTCGTTAACATTTCGGATAAATCGTAAGCATTCGGTCCAGGATGAACCGTACACATGTTTTGTACCGTACACATGTTTTGTGCCGTTCACAAAATCGGTGCATAAATACTGTAAAACTTTGCGATCCAACTGATCACTCCAAATTTTGGGACTGAGCTTATTTAATTCTCGCACGACGTCTGATTTGATATCCTGTATCTTGATTTCGAGTTGGTTTCCAACTCGGCACAGCATTTCAAACTGCCGTTTCTCGGACTGAAGATAAGGGTGTTTTAGCGCTTTTTCAGCCAAAGGTCTATTTTTGGGATCGTGGCTGAGCATCCAGGATATCAAATCTTTTGCGGCAGGATCTTTCACCTCATCCATATGAGCTGCTTTACCATCAATTAAGTTGCGAAGTCGATCAGGTTCTTTCCCAAAGGGATGTTTACCTTTTGTCACAATGTAGAATGCCAACATTCCGGCCACCTAAATATATGCCAGAGGTAAATCGTAGTTATTATCAAATCATCCATAAACACTAAAAGTCTTTTCAAAGAAACTTTTTATTGCCAGAACAAACGTAAATTAATTATTTTTTGTTTCAAACAGCCACTGGCATCTTTGACCGAGTTTTAGCGACCTAAATTTCGTCCAACCTTAACTGCATGTAATTCGTTGTTCTCCGTCAGTATACAGTGTCAAAATATGAAAAACTTGATGGGTGATTTATAATAAAGTTGTATAACATTGTAAGTACATCATGACACATGCATAGACTGATATGTCGGTACCATGCATATGTACAGTATACAACAAAGGCTTAGGGAATAAGTGAAATAATTAGGGATCACGACAGAAGGTTCTCGAGAATAAAATAAAACGCTAAAACGAGCGTACCAAATTTGAATGCATGCATGTTAGGAAGGGGCATACTGCAAAAAATTGTTCTGTTATCTGATTTGTTCTTGGATTATGAGGATTATGATCAGCTGTTTTTGTGCCACTTATTTGCCAGTGGTCAAATTTTTTTTCAAAATGTATGATGTTAACTTCACAGTATCCACCGAAGCTTCATTACCAATCTCACCATAATTTTTAAATTAATTAAATTAAAAGTAATACTTGAAGCACAAATATAAGAGCGTTTCGGGTTTGATCAGCTAAAATGTGAGCTTAGCCCAAGAACTGTAAATATAATATAAAACACAAATTGGACGCAAATACAAAACGTAAACACACGAATAAAGAACGCAAGCACGGCTACAAAAGACTGATTTTTGTGAGCATTCTCTTATCTAGATCTGTTCAAGAATGCGATTGAGTTAGTTGCATTACACCCGAAATTGGATATATACACACTGATATTTCCAATGCAAATTAAATTCGCGCATTAACAACTTTGATATACAATCAGTCTTTTGGAGAGATATTTATGCTCATAATATATCATAGTAATCAAGAAGCTGATATTCGTAGAATATCATTCTATACCATCGCTATAATTACCAGGCGAAGGCTACGGCGGCGAAGGCCAGGCGAAGGCCAGGCAGGCGATTATCGGATAGATATTAGCACCACGTACATAATTATGTCATCATAAGGATTGAAAAGAATCGGATTGGAAGGATTGAATCATGGAGATAATATACATAGAATGGGTACTCCTATCATTTCTCTGTAAAGTATTGTCTCCACAAAATGGCGGATTTCAAAGACCATTTTGAATCGTCCTAGACTTCTGCGGCAGGGAATTTCGCGCGGTTAGGGGGTAGCTTTGACTAGTTGTCTCGGCTTAGACAATGTATATTTTAAATTTTTTCGCCAAATAACTCATAAGTTGTATCGTTTTTAAACCAGTATTATATGAGAATTCGCGAACCAACCGATGCCGGGGCTTCCAAGATGCATTGCAAGCATGGTCAATTGATGGTAATGAATAAACATTGAATAACTCGTAGTTCGTGCTTTATCGGACACAAAACATTGGAGCTGCACACTCGTGTATTAATGTGGTTAAACGTAGATTTAAGCGAAGTTAACGGCAGATGTATCTAGCAGCGGGGAGCCCCTGACGTCACTTAGAACAGTTGCAATTATCGCGCATCCGTCACTTTGCTACAGCTTGGCTAGCCAGCTACAACTGCTCTTTCGCTCTGTTATAAATCTTTGCTATTGCGTGTTATTATTACTTGTTACTTTACTCAACATGCCTCGGCT